CGAGGAGGGGGTAGTGGGGGGGTAGCTGGCATAATCTGGAGATCACTCATGTCGATTCTGCAAATTCAATAAAGTGCAGGGGAGAGAAGGGAGAGGGAGAGGGAGAGTGGGGGGATAATTTGGGAAGAGAAAATTGCAGCTGTGACAAGACGTTTATCATTCGGAAGCTTTAATTCTATTGAAATGGCAGCTGCTCAGCTCCAGGGCACAGAGCACAGAGCAGCCGGGAGAGTTGGCGGGAGGGAGGGAGGAGCTGGTAGTGGGAGGCAGAGGGGTCCCCGCCCTGGTCCTTCTGCAGGGAAAAGAGCAGAAGGTGGTATAAACAGAGAGGAAATGATGGCCTTCAAGTGAAGGGTCCCAGGCCTGTGGATTCCAAGTTGTCAACTACTCTAGCAAAAGCCACCACTTCCTGGGCTCAGGAAAAGGTACCAGCCCAGCCTCCTGTGGCAGGACGCGGCAGGATTCCCCAGGCCCCCTCCGTTCCTGTCTCAGGCTCTGTGCGTGCCTGAGTCAGAAGCGTCTCTCCCTGCCCCCGCCACCCCTGTTTCCCTCTTTACTACCCTCCCCACAGAGGCTAGGGGGTCCTGTAGCCCCCTCCCCCACTCCATCCCCCAAGGCTCAGGCTCCATGGCAACGGCCACGCAGACAAGGAGGCGTCTGTCAGCGTCATTTATCTCTGACATCATCAATCACCGGTCACCACGGCAACACCCATGATTCAACACAAGAGGGTCCCCTGTCCAGCCCTTCCCTCCCTGCCTCCATTAAGCTTCAGCTGAGCCCAAATTGGAAACCCCCATTCCTCTGGGATCCAGAAGTCCCAATTCTCTCTTCCAACTCCAGGTCCTAGGCTTAACCAGACCAGCAACACACACATAAACACCTACCTAGCACCCTCAAGTTCAAGCCCCTCCCCTAGGACGCACAATCTGAGGGGACTCAGATGTGCCTAAGTCCTGCCCCCAGCCAGGCAGGCCTGGAAGAAAGCTACCCAGGGGCAGACGCACACGCACACGGGGCAAAAGCACAGCCAGACGCAGAAACAGCTCCAGCTCCACACACAGGCACACGGCCAGCGAGACTCCCAGACAGGTCCGTGCAGCCTAACGCCGGGCTGGCACGGCACACACGTTCACACACATCCGCACAGCCCGGCTCCCTTGGCCTTTGGGAGCACCTCAGCCCACCTAGGGCGGGCTGGGCCCTGGCCCCGGGGCACTCACACTCCTTGGACATGCCCACTTCGAAGCACTTCTGCAGCCGGCAGTACTGGCAGCGGTTCCGGGTCACCTTGTTGATGATGCAGTTCTTGTCCCGGTGACACGTGTACACCATGTTCTTCTGGATGCTCCGGCGGAAGAAGCCCTGGGTATGGAGGGAGGGAGTCAGATCACCCACACCCACGGTGGGAGCAGGGCCTGGAGGGAGGCCTGGCTACCTACCTACCTCAGCAGGCCAGAAAAGGTGGGGAGAATGACTCGCCTACAAGGACACCCCTCAGGAGACCCCAGTACCTGCCCCCATGCTGTAGGGAGGGCAGGAGTCTTCTCCAACCTATACTCACATTCCAACTCCTCCCTCCCAGGGAAAAGGCTGCTGGTGAGTCAGAATAGGAAGACACGGGGGGCTAGATCTGGAACCCCCGCTCTGGACTCAGAAGGCAGGAAGGAAGGACAGGCAGAAGAAGCCAAGAAGACAGACACACAGGCTGGCCAAGGACACACACGCACACACACACCTACCAGACAGACGTGCATCGACCAATCAGAGACAGGCCCAGGCTGGTCAGGGGCTCCATAGACAGGCAGACAGAGAGAGACTGACCAGGGATAAGCCAGGAACAACCAGACAGGACAGGTGGGCATGAGGTCCGAGGCCTTGTGCTTTGCCCTGGGCTTCTGTCCCACACCTGGGGGCAGCTACTCCAGGCTCAGGGGTAGCCCACAGTCCCAATCCCCAAAGCTATGCAGCTTCAGAGTCCCCATCTCTGGAGGAAGAAACGTGCACAGAGGCGCAGGCCCTGGAGAGAGGAGACGCCCAGGGAAGGTCCGGGCACTCTGGAGCCCAGAGCAAGCACGGCAGGAACGCCAGCCAGACACTGGGGAGCCGGCAGCCTGGGCACCTGAAAGGGAGGCCAAGGCAGGGCGCCTGCTCCTAAGTGCCCCCTGCCAGGCTGCCATGGTGAGGTTCAGGCAGGGCCGCTGGGGCAGGCCTCCTGGGTCCCCAGCCAAGAGCCAGCCTGCAGCCAGCTCACCATGGCAACCTGGGCAGCAGTGGCAGAGCCAGGCAAACGCCCCGCCAGCTGGAGGGCAGGGGCAGGGAAAGGTGCTAGGCAGGAGGGAACCACTGATCGGGGGACCCCTGCTCACCTAGGGGGATGCCCCACTGCAGGTGTCCCCTCCTCCTCCAAGGCTGCTGCCACTTTCACAGAGAAGCGAGGGCAGCAGCTTCAGGGACATGCTCGCCCCAGCTGCACACTCCCGGGACACAGCAGCAGGAGCATCCGTCCACCTCACCCAGGCTGTCCTTCCCAGGGACCCCGACTCACCTTGCAGCCCTCACAGGCGCTGACCCCATAGTGGTAGCCTGAGGACTTGTCCTGACAGACAAAGCAGGGCTTGTAGATGCGGGGGAGGGGGGGCGGCGAGGGGGGGCTGGGCACTATCTCTTCCGAACTGCTGCTCTGGGTCTCGATGGCTAGAGAGACAGAAGGGATGGCACAGTTAGAGACCCAGGTGGTCATCTTTAATACTGCACCCCACCCTGCCTCATGGTCGCTCCACTGCTGGCAGGATTTAAACTGTGGGGCAGGGCCACCTTCAGAAGCCCCCAGCACCCTACAACTGCTGTCTACGTCCCCAGGAGCCCACCTTCGACAGCAGGAGGATCCTAGTATACACCATCCAGTCTCTATGTGCATGCACATGACTGCTGGGGGTGGGGAGTCAGCTTGGTGCTAAAGCCCTGGCCCCTAGGCAGCCTGCCCCATTCTCCCCCAAGTTAGGAAGGAGTTAAGGCTTGATGAGGAGGGAGGGACGAGGACACAAGCTGGGGGCAGAGGAAACTGGGGTCAACAGGATATTCAAAGGCGGCCACTCCCCCACCCCCTCTGCTTCCGCTCCCCCTCCCCCCCCCTGCCAGCAGCCGCAGCCCTCCTCCAGCCAGACCATCCCCAGACCAGGGATCCTGGGCAGGGTGCACAGTCACAATGTGGGGGCAGAGCAGGCAGGGGCTCCCTGAGAGAGGTAAAGGGACCCTTGGACGTAGGGAGAAGAGTCCCCATGGGCCCCAGAAGCCCATCATTCTGAGTGCCCCCAACTCTGTCTGGGGGGAGGCGGCATGACAAAGGGGTTCTGTTCCCATCAATGCTCTGTCTGTCTGGCCTCAATACTATGTCCGGGTTACCACCCTCTCCCCTCCTGTTATTTAGCTCCAAGAGGGCAGCCAGGAAGGGTGATCCAGCCGGCAGGGGCAGCCCCCACTGGCCAAAGCCTCCCCAGTGCCGGGCTTCATGCCCACCACCCCAGGGAGAATAGGGTTGGGCTGGGTGGGGGCTGTCTGTGCCCAAAGCCTGGACAGTTGGGGTTGCAGTGACTACTGCAATGAGAATTAAGGCCAAGGCACCCCCAGACTCCCAAGGGGCGACCCAGCATCCTCCTGAGGCCCTTGCCATGTCCACCTGCCCAGGGCCAAGGATGGGGAAATGCCTCTCTGAGTAGTGAGGAGCCCTGCCTAGCCCCACCCCAAACTGCAGCACATGAGGGTCTAGCATGGAAAGGTACCCACAGTTCCTGGCCCACGCACCTCATGGCCCTGAAGTCCAGGCACAGAGGGAGAGGGAGCATAGGGACACTAGGGTTTGGCGGTATGCTGCCACCCTCCCCCCGTACCTGCGGACACACCAGAGGCTGCCAGACAGTTGATGACAGGAAGGCATGCCAACAGCCTTGGCAGGGCTTCCTGGCTCTCAGCAGGGCCTGGGCACCACTGCCCTGGTCAGCCTAGCTGACCAGCACCATGGTGTCCCCTCCCCTGCCCAGAGACCGGCCTGCAGCAAAGGGACGGTCGATGCCTACACCCCCCAGTCCAGCATACTCTTCCCCGACCTTCTCCAGCCCCCTGCTCCTCACTCCAACGCTGAGCTGCCCTGGCCCAGTTTTCTCCCACCTCACTCTCCCCAAGCCAGACAAGCAAATCAGACAGGCCAAGAGGCCCAAGAACAGCTGCCTGGGGGGGAGGGCTGGGGGGCCAGGGTGAGACCAGGAGGCACAGGGGTGAGCGACACAGGGGCCCTTTGTTGTGCTAACTTTTTCCAAGACGTAAAAGCAGTAACAATAGACAATCCAGACTGGTGGGGGGGTGTCAAGGACAAGGAGGTGTGGGGGGGCTGTGGCCTAGAATCCCAGTCAGCATTCCAACAAGCAGAGGAAGAGGCACTGACCTCCCCTCCCCTCCTAATCCCCCCTCCACCCCGCCCCTGCCTCCCCCGAAGGCCCCACCTCCATAGAGAACCAGACCGCACGGGCAGAGAGGACTGAGGGAGCTTTGGGGTGCAGAGGTGTGCTCGCTGGGAAGGGAGGTGGAGGTGGGGAACCAGAGAATGAGGCCAGGGACAGGCCAGAGGGGCAAAGGCCCACAGAAACCTGGAGCCAAGGCAAAGTCCAGAGAGTGTTTATAGAACTGGAAGAAAGTGCTTTGAAAACTGTGGTGGATGGGGAGACTGCCAGGTCGGAGGGGAGCCACTGTCCGAGCTGGGTAAGACCTCCTCGAAGCCCACCTGGCTGACTCTAGGCTATAACTGGTCTGCACACCACCCCCAGCACCTCCCCACCTGTCACCCAGGTAACCCAGCTCTGAGGTTTCCTGCTCTGCCCTTTGAACCCAGAGCTTGGGGCCCAGTCTCCACCTCCCCAGGCCTCCAGCCAGCAGCCTTAGGAGGAGGACCAGAGGCGGTGTGGGGTACCCTCACAACCTCTTCACTCTCCTAGCGGGGAGGCGGACACTGATGGGAGAGGGACTGCCCAAGACCCAGTCCCTCCCGCCTAACCTCCCGCCTAACCTCCCTCCCCAGAGGCCACGGCCCACAAATCTTTCCTCTTCCTGCAGAAGAACTCAGACTGGAGGACCACACCTTCTCAGCTCAAAGTTCCAGCGCCCAGCGAGGGCTGGAAGCAGCCCTAGAAGCCAGGCGTGCCCTCCGGTCACACTGCCAGGGCCCCTCCCCCGTGGCCCCCTCCTGGCCAGGCGGGCTGCAAAAGCGCTCCGGATTCCCCACGCCCCAGAGCCGTTCACAGGCCCGCACAAGGGGCCGGTTTCCTGGAGGAG